TAAGGGCATGTACCTTGGTTGCAGGAACATCCCCAATAGGGGGTGTGCAAGAGGTAGCTGATCAATGATTCTCTCTCATCGATGTTTCTAACTTTCTATCTCTCTTCCTCTGTAAAAAAAATATCAATAAAACATATTTAAAAAAGAAAGAAAAATGACTTATTTCTGAAAGGCTAGACCTGACTTTGGTCCAAAGCGAGCTAAACTGCAAAACCTCCTTTGATTTTAAATGTTGCTAACCTCAGTGATGCTAATTTTAAACCTCTGAGGAATGAATCCTTACCTCCAAGTGCAATTTTTTTTTTATCAGTCTAACAGCCAAGCCACAGTCAGGCCAAGGCTAGAGAACACTCACGCTAAGCAGGGTGGCCATCTGCTCTATTTGGCCACCTCCAGCACTGGAAGCTGAGATATCTTATATGCTGATTACATCTTGGTTTAATGACACAGAGTGAAGAGAGAAGGATATCAGGGCATTTATCTTTCCCACTCCCACATGCTCCTCCCAATTCGCATTAAGTAAAAAGCAAGGACTCCAGAACTGGGTAGAGATGGGTGTGACCTTGGGCAAGTCACTTAACCTCTAAAGAAGTTTCCTATTTGCACAAAGGAGATAACAGTACTGTAATCGTCTTATGGGTAACTGGCAGGTTTAGGTGGGGCATTGTTGAACTTTTATAACAATGTCTGAAACTGGTAGGTAGCAAACCCTTAATAAATGTCAGCTATCTTTATCAACAAAGGAGGTAGCAATGTACTCCATCAACACGAATTAGGTTCTATTATCTCCTAAAAGCTTTATTTTATTCCCTCCCTGATTCAATTATGACATCAAAACTGTATCTTTAGCTCAACTTTTTCTTTTTTTTAATCCTCACCTGAGGATATTTTTCCATTGATTTTTTTTTTAGAGAGAGTGGAAGAGAGAGGGAGAGACAGAGAGAAACATCGGATGTGAAACACTTGGAGTGGAGGGCCAGGGAGGAGCCTGCAACTGAAGTGCATGTCCTTGACCCTTTGGTCCGCAGGCTCATGCTCTATCCACTGAACCAAACCTGCTAGGGCTAACCCAATTTCTTTCCTAAGCTTAAGACTAGGCTTCACATTTCTCAAAACACCCAGAGGGGCCCTTAAAACCTAAAGCAAATCTAAAATTAGATTATTACCTGGCACTGAACAATATCTGACTTTCCTCTTGACCTCTCTGCATATGTGAAAAATACTGTCATCTTTCTAGCTACCCAGGCAGATGGGCAGAGGTTTTTATTTGTTTGCTTGTTTTTAACAACATCTTTATTCCTCATTTAATCAGTTGCTAAATCATTCACCCACACATTGACTTATTCAACAAATATTTATTGTGCCTTTTCTATAAGCCAGGTACTGTGTTAAACTGAGTATATAGTGGTAAACAAAACTTGCATGGTTTCTATCCTCATCTTCAAATATATAATGACAAACTAGAATGTATACTTGGAAGATTTCCGTCAATATGAGGAAGTGCAACAAGGGACATACTTTAAAGGAAAGTACTTTCAGAGGACGTGACCATTTGAACAGACCATTTGAAAGGGGAAAAGGAGTCTATCAGGTGAGTAATAAAGGAAGAACTTTCTAGACAGCAGAATGAATAGGTGCAAAGGCTCTGAGATAGGAAAGGGCTTAATTTTTTTGTTTTTTTTTTCCTGAGAAACTGAAAAGAGGCCAAATAGTTAAAAGGTTGTGAACTTACTTGAGATGAGGCTGCAGCAGCAGACAGGGGCTTGCCAGCCACATATGAAAACCCCTGAAGGGTTCTTAGCTAGGATAGGCACAGGATCAGACCCCCCTGGCTGTTTTTGGAGAGTGGACTCAAGGGGGCAAGTACAGAATCAGAGACCAGGAGATTATTTGGGTGGTTCTGGTGGCTCATGGTCAGTGGCTGTGGTGATGGGAGAAAAGTGGATATATTTGAGACACAAGTTGGAGGTACTATTGATTGGACGTAGTGATTGGGATGTGGGGAGATGACAAGGTGATTCTTGAGTTTCTGATAAGAACATCTGTACAGGTGGAATTGCATAGAGTTTACCTCTCAAAAGATTCTGTGTTCTGAAAATTACCCTCCTTTCCCTTCATAGAGCAACTGCCTTCTTTCTAAATCATTATAACTATTTAGATTGTGTTTCTTCTCATTAGTTTTCCTACCTCTTATCTTTGTCCACTTCAAATTACCCTTCACTGTATTAAGTACAAACTCCTTACCTTTCCAGTCTTATTTTCCACCACTTCTCTACTTAAGTCCTGCGTTAGTCACACCGGACTGGTTGCTGCTCCTTGAAAGTGTCATGACACATTATTACTTTAGTCTTGTACTCATACTGTTCCTTCAGTCTTATCATCTCAATCTGTTGAAGCCTTACTCAACTTTCAAACTTCATTACAGGTCCGATTTTTAAATCTCATAAGGCCTGGTGATTATCTTATGGCCCTCAGATACCTGCCTTTTATGGTGGTTATTAGAATACTAACCTCATGGCCATTTTCTACCCACTAACAGACTGCATATAATACCTTTGAGTGCACAGGTCTATTACTCATACTACACCACTGCCCTTGCCCATGCAGGGTCAAGCATAGTGCTTCACTCACTGTAGGTATATTTTATTGAACTTATTTGAAACAATTCATATTATTATGCATAAAAGTGATGAGACCCAAGTTGTTGAAAAGATGTTTCCCAGTAGCATTTGCCAGCACCAGAGCTCATAGAAAAATTCATTTTCCACAAAATTCCCTGAAATCATACACAAGACACACACCCACCACTTTGATAGAGTCTCCTGGCTGCTTGCTTGCCCTTTCCTTGAAATACTGAATATTAAAAATTACAGTCCCTAACTTGGGATTTTCAGGCTATTTGAAATGGGTCATGAAATCAATTAGTAAGTCACAAACAATACTAAAAATAAAAGAGAAAATAGCTAAACACACTGCCTCCGATAAGGATAAGCAGTGTTTCCTGAAACTTTTGTTTAAAGTACATGTTTATCCCTGGCTGATGTGACTCATTTGGAGTTATAATCCCGTGCACCAAAAGGTCAAGTTGCCAGTTCAATCCCCAGTCAAGGGGCATAAAGGAGGCAACTGATGGATGTTTTTCTATCCCCCCCCCCAAAAAAAAAACCCCACCACAAAACAATAAAAACATATCCTGGGGTAAGGATTTAATAAATAAAATACATGTTTACACATGTGTGTGTACTGGGTCATGAGGTAAGACATATTTCTTACCATGGGTCAGGAGGGGTATGGTATAGACAAAACTATTTCCCAGTCAATTGTATGCCCCATGATAGTACATAGCAATAAACCACCAGCACAAAAAGGAGGAATTCCAAGTCTTACATTCCAGCTCTGGCTCCATTTCATAGGCTGCCCCTTATAATTTGTGGCTACTTGTATTTATAGCAGAGAGATCAACAGTGAATTTCCTAACTAATGTAAACACTCCTAATTGCCAACCCCAACCCCAACAAATAACTGGGTCAGAAACAAGTTTGAAGGAGTGGGAAGTTAAAAGATAGCGTGGCACAGAGAACCCTTCATAGGGGTGCTGATAAATTTGGGTTGGGTAATACTGAGGCCACACAACCTAACGCCCCTTCCGCCTCTAAAATTTTATAATTCTACAAGGGAAGGAAAAGGCGACCTTTATTTGGAAGAAATAAAGATCATCTTGGTTTGATATATAATAGGCAAAAGGAAATGATATTCGCCAAGGTTGTTTAAATATGAATTAATATCGCTTCCATTATCTAGATTGGGTTAGCACTCTTTGGTGATATTATATGTCAGTGTCTCTACTGACTACTACTGGATCCATTCCAAACTTCTTCCTGGCATGTGAGTCGTTCCATAGCTGCCCAACTTCATCTTAAACTTCTTTCTGTTCAGTCCTCTAACCTTCTGCTCTTTCCCCAGGTCTGCTTAATTCTTCCCCACGCCTGCTCTCCTAGCTGAAGTCCCATAACCTTCATAAAACCTTCCAACCACTCAGATACTTATACATCAAATCTTGACCTTTGCATTCCTACAGGATTTATCAGCAATGCTATCAAGGAAGCACCATAGTTTTCATCCCACAGATAAGAACATTGGGACCCGAAGAGGTGAAGTGGCTTGCCCAGGGTCCCACAGTTTCTAAGCAGCATGCTGCTTCCACATATTAAAAAAACACACAAAACCATGGAGGAAGGAAGCAGCAAAGAAGCCAATAAACCAGGGATACCACAGCTCATGGTGACACAAACTCGGATACACCACATCCTTTGAACCATACACGTCATGAACGCTTGGGGGTAGCATGGATAGTTTACAAGGGGCTTGCCAGTCCTGTTTCCCCAGCCCAGTATTAGACGAAATTCCGGTGCAAATGACAGGTGGGTGGTTAAGGAGAAGAAAAGTCATATGGTCTAAGAATCAAATAATAGAAATGGGACAGGAAAGAGATGAAAGTGTACTACAAGTGGGCACTGCCCAAAACAAGAGACTCACCCTAATGGGGCTGCGGAGGCCCTCAGGGCTCACATAAAATACTTAAGTTAGGGGAGGGGGCCTAAGCTGCCGATAAGGAGCGCGCCTGCGAGGGCTGATACAGCCTGAATAACAGGCAGCAGTGCACATGGCCACAGAGTAGAGAACTCACGAGCGACAAATAAGGAGAGGTCGTGGGGACACCGGGAGGGCGGTGGCGCCCAGTGAAGGGAACAGCTTGGGGTCGAAGGGAAGGAAAGGTGAAGAGGTTCAGAGGGCACAGCAGCCCCAGACTCCAGACAAGATCTTGTCTTTCCATAAAGAGCCGGCTGGCGTGTGTGTGTGTGTGTGTGTGTGTGTTAGAGCATTCACACAAGCACCCCACCAAAGCCCTCCAGGCTGGCCCTGGGAAGCCGGGGGGGAGGCTCCGTCCCCGTCCCCCGCGGACTCGGCGACAGGGCGGAAGGAGGCACGAGGGTCCTTACCCAGGAAGATGGAGATGATGAGCCGCAGCGCCTGCTCTGACGCGCCCAGGGACGTCGCCAAGTAGTTCAGGCTCAGCTCCTGGAAAGCCCACTGCAGCACCCTCGTCAGCCCGGCCGCGGCCCCCACGTCCCCCTCAGCAGCAGACGCCATCTTAGCTCCGGGCGCCCCCCCTAAGGGACCCCCCCCTCAGCTCCGTGCGCCCCGAAATGCGGGCACAGCGCTGTAGCTTCACCCCCAATTCCGGCCCGGAGCCCGCCCACGGCGTGCGCATTGGCTGCGGACCCGCCCAGGGGCTCCCGGCGCTCCCGCTTATTGGTCCGCCCCGCCGGGGGGCGGGGCCTAACGCCCCAAGGTGGGCAGAGGGCGGGGCGGAACGTGTGTAAATGCAAAGGTGACTCGGGCCCAGAATGAACTGGGTGCTGCCCCGGGCGGGGGGGGGGGGGAGGGCGGGGCTTGGAATCGGAAACCAGAGTAGTGATTGGAAAAGTCTGCCGCCGAAGGCGAGGTGGTGGCACAACTCGGTTCCAACTGTTTTAGGGGAGGAGTCGGCGAGGGCGAATGTCCGGCCGGCTCGTGCGCCGCCTTCCCATTGGCTGGGACGGAGCAGGCGAGAGTCGGGGCGGGGGGGCGGGGGAGCCTGCCCTCCGCCCGCGGGGTTACTCTCGGTCGCAGGCGCGCCGGGGTTACTGGGGCATGTAACGGGGAGGGCGGGAAATTCTGCTGCGGCCTCGCGAGCGCCTCCTAACGGTACTTCCGGGCCCTTCTTAAACCGTTAGACACGCCGGAGGGTCTTGGGAGAGAGCCCAGCGCCCTGAACACTTATTGGCCTGCTCCTTTTATTCCATGCACCCCTGTCATGTAATTTTCTGAATCAAAACGTGACCTTCCCCGAGAGGCGGTGACATTTAAGATAGGCCGATTTTTATCATAATTTTCATTAAAACATGAAACGACTTTTGTTACTATTGAAGGCTTATGATAAAAGTTCAGGCAGTAGAGGAATTGATAAAACAGAAAAGTATTTCCCTCTCTTCCATCCGGCTTCTCATCCTTATTTCCTTAAAGGTAACCACTGTTCAGATTACACTAACGAAGTGCTGGCGAGGATGTGCACTGTGGGTGGGAAGGCAGATGGGTGCAGCCACTTAGGAAAGCAGTATGGAGTAACCTCAAAAAAAAAAAAAATTAGCATTGGAATTGCTTTGTGACCCAGTGATTTCACTTTTGGGAATTTATCCGAAGAAACCTGGAACACTAATTTGAAAGAATATATGCACCCCTATGTTCACTGCACCATTTACTCACAATAGTCAAAATTTAGAAGCAGCCCAAGTGTCAAGCTTATCTTTTACAATAGCATGGATGGACCTGGAGAGCATTAGGCTAACCGAAATAAGCCAGAGAAAGACAAGTACCATGTGATTTCACTCATAGATGGGACCTAATGAACAAAAGAAACTAACAAGTAGGAACAGACTCATAGAAAACAGACTGACAAAAAAAAGAAGAAAGAAAACAGACTGATAGCTGTCAGAGGGGAGGAGGATTTCAGGGCTGGATGAAAAAGGTGAAGAAGCCAAAACTCTCAGTGGTAGAGCGTCGGTCTGCGGACTGAAAGGTCCCCAGTTCGATTCCGGTCAAGGGCATGTACATTGGTTGCGGGCACATCCCCAGTAGGGGGTGTGCAAGAGGCAGCTGGTGGATATTTCTCTCTCATCGTCGTTTCTAGCTCTCTATCCCTCTCTCCTCTTCTCTGTAAAAAAGCAATAAAATATATTAAAAAGAAAAGAAAAGAAAAAGGTGAAGAGATTAAGCAAAAACAAAAAAAAGACACAGACAATAGTATGGTGATTATTAGAAGGAAAGGATGTGGGGGAGGTAGAAGAGGTACTGGGTGGATCAATGGTGATGAAGGAAACTTGACTTGGGGTAGTGAGCATACAATATAATGTACAGATGATGTATTATAGAATGGCACATCTGAAACCTATATAATATTATTAACCAATGTTGCCCAAATAAATTCAATAAGAAATAACAGAGAACACTGAGAACTTAGTATGGGCCAGGGATTGTGCTGGTCTCTGGGGAATGTAATGATGAGCCCAAAGCTATGGAGTGGGGATGATGCCAGGTCACACAGTAGTGTTAATGTGGGTGTAATTGCAAGTGAAGGGAAGTGCTTTTAAGAAAAGGAACAAGGTTCTATGAGAGTATCTAACAGAGGGACATTAAGAGTTTTTTGTAATAATTGTAATTTGAGGAGCATTCTTATAAAATTACAGCTTATACTTCTATAGCACTTTGCACTTTATAAGTAAATTATCCATGTTATTTCAAGTAATTTGAATGTGAAACAGGATATTTATTATTATGATGTCCTCTTGCAGACACAGAGGCTTGGAGAAACTAAGAAGGTCCCTAAGTTCCATTCTCAGTAAGTATTAGAGACAAAATTTAAACCTAAGTCTGTAAAATTCCACCTCCCTCTTCCTTTTTGTCAGCAAAGTTTAATAAATATGAAATGTTCAGAAAAGTTAAGGATAATATAACTTCTTTCGGGTTAAGAAATGAATATGTAGGTGCATGCACTGCCTTCCTCTTTTCTGGCTGGAAACATGGAGGGAGAAGGATAATAATAATAATAATAACAATAATCCTGCTGGGCCAGAAACCCTCAAGAAAAAGCGAAGAAGCCGAGACCAATTTGGCTCAATGGATAGAGCGTCGGCTTGGGGACTAAAGGGTCCTGGGTTCGATTCCGGTCAAGGGCATGTACCTTGGTTGCGGGCATATCCCCAGTGGGGGGTGTGCAGGAGGCAGCTGATAGATGAATCTCTCTCATCGATGTTTCTAACTCTCTATCTCTCTCCTTTCTTCTCTGTACAAAATCAATAAAATATATTAAAATAAAAAAAAAAGAAAAAGCGAAGGAATTTTGCAGAGCCGAAGCTCAAGCTCCTGAGAAAGAAGCTTTGCCCAAAAGATGCTTCGAAAAGCAAGGAGGAAGCTAATCAATGAAAAAGCTAAGCACTATCTCAAGGAATACAGGCAGATATACAGAACGGAGATTTGATTGGCTTGGGATGGCAAGAAAAGCTGGTAACTTCTATGTACCTGCTGAACCCAAATTGGCATTTGTCATCAGGATCAGAGGTATCAACGGTGTGAGCCCAAAGGTTTGAAAGGTGCTACAGCTTCTTCGCCTTTGCCAGATCTTTAACGGCACCTTTGTTGAGCTTAACAAGGCTTCCATGACCATGCTGAGGATTGTGGAGCCATACATTGCATCGGGTACCCAAACCTGAAGTCTGTAAATGAGTTGATCTACAAGCGTGGTTATGGCAAAATCAACAAAAACCCAATTACCCTGCCAAATAACTCATTGATTGCTTGATCTCTTAGTATGGCATCATCTGCATGGAAGATCTGATTCATGAGATCTACAATGCTGGAAAGCGCTTCAAAGAAGTGACAATTTCATGTGGCCCTTGAAGTTATCTTCTCTACAAGTGGGATGAAGAAGATCACCCATTTTGTAGAAGGTGGAGAGATGTTAAGAACAGGGAAGACCAGATCAATAGGCTTATTAGAAGGATGAACTAAGGTATCTACCATGGTTATTTTTTAATAAACCGAGTCCTTTAAAATTGAAAAAGAAAAAGAAAAAAGCAACAAACATGTACAGTTGAAGAGCCTAGTATATCCCTTCCCCATGGCGTTTCCTCCTTCCCTTCTCAAAGGTAACCATTTTGCTGAGTTTGTATTTACCAATCCCATGCCCACTTTTATACTTTACATACCATGTATATCCAGAAACCATATATACTTTTGCATGCTTTTGAACTTTATATTAGTGGTATTAGTGAGTGTGTCATTTTGCAACTTGTTTTTATGCTTAACATCCTTATTGAGATGTACGGTATTCTTGTTTTTACATATAGTTCTAATCCATTCAATTTAACTGTGATATAACATTGCATTGTATTGTTATAGCACAGTATTTCAAGATAATGTTGAGAAATACTTGGATCATTTCCTATTTATTTATGTATTTATTTTATTACAAATACTAGTAGTCCTGCTCACGAATCCGTGTGCCAGTAGCTTGCCAGCAGTTCGCTGCTGCCCTCCAGTAGCTCTCCGCCTGCTGCCCCACCCTCCTGTAGCTCCCTCTGCCCCTCCTCCCGCCCCCATAGCTTGCTGCCCCACCCTCCTGCTTATTCATGATCCAGTGATTACGTGGTTGGTGGTTACATCTTCAATGAATGTACTCCTTTAAGCAACAGAGAGTTTCTTTAGGGCTGTGATTATAAACTTCTTCCCCTCCTCTTCTTTGAAAATTAATTAGGATCTTCTGGGAGAAAAACATTGTGATCCAGTATATACACATAGTCAGGCACTAGACCACAAATATATGTATACTGCTCACACAGTCATACACCACACACTGCTGTGTTATGTGTGTATTCTCTGGTGATTTCTATTCTATAGGATAGGAGTGTCTTTTGTTCTAATGAGGTGACTCTGGGGGAGCTCCTGGATGGGGGCTGGTCACCAGAAAGATTGAATCATGATTAGACGCTTGGCTTTGTCAGCCTTGTCTCCAACTCTTGCCAAGGGAGAGGGCTGAAAATTATCCATTTTCATATGCCTATGTGATGAACCCTCCATAAAAATAGTATGGGGTTTGGAGAGCTTCCAGCTTGGTGAACATGTGGAGGTGTTGGGAGAGTGACATGCCTGGAGAGGCCATGGAAGCTTCATTCCCCTTCCCACATATCTTTCCCTGTTCATTCCTATCACCTGGATGTTCAACTGTATATCATACTCTTTTATAATAGACCAGTAAAAGTAAGTAAAATGTTTCTCTGAGTTCTGTGACCACTTTAGCAAACCAACTGAACCCGAGGAGGAAGTCATTAGAACCACCAAACTATAGCCTGTTGGTCAGACACTCAAGTGACAAACTATAGCCTGTTGGTCAGAAGCTCGGGTGACATTCTGAACTTTTGATTGGCTTCTGAGTGGGGTGAGGGTAGTCTTGTAAGACTGAACCTTTAACCTGTGGTATCTGACCCTATCTCTGAGTAGATAGTGTCAGCACTGAGTTGATGTTGCAGAAAATTATTTGGTGTGAGGGAAAACCT